TTCTCTGGTGTCTTGTTTCCCTAAAGGTTTTGGTGACATGTGAAAATTCATTTCAAGTTAAGAGACATATAAGCTTTGCCAGCAAGTTCACTAAAAAAAGGTGTTGCTATAGACAATTAACTTAAGTAGAGCAGAGACTGGTAGCCCTGTTCCTGTTTGTCATCTTTGTCTTACCGCTAAAGGTACATTACAGAGTTATGTTATTGGTGGATAGAAAAGTCTTCCAATTCACTTTTTCACCAGCTAATATTTTGTCTCAAAGTTTGTTTCATGTACCACTACTTTATTTGTACCTGAGTTTGGCAAGTTTATCTCCCAAAGCAGCCAAAGGATCAGCTGTGTCCTTGATGTCAGCTGATGATTTGTCTTCTGTTTCTGCTGCTGGCTTGTCTTTTCCTCCTTTTGGTGGTACTGATTTGTTTTGGTCTTCACTCTTTTCCTGATCATCTGAATCGTCTTCTTCATCATCCTCCATCAAAGCCATCATAGTGCCTGCCTGTTTACTTACTCCACGTTCCTGGAACAGTTGAACACCTACGCTGCTTGGCCGTCTGTTGGAACAAAACATCTATCAGTTTGAAACAAGTTAAAGCTTACAAAAAACATTTTCAGAATATAAAATGTACTTCTTATTTGTCGCTTATTTTGCTAAACTCACATATGCACTATGCATTGACAGCAAAGGATTCTCATTTACCAGCTGGAGCAGGCCTTTAAAAAGGACCTGTTACCTTGTTCTAGAATGCAATCTGTCCTGACGTTCCAGCTCTTCTGCCAAATGAACCCTCATCTGCTCAGCCTCCAGTGCTTCAGTCTGTTGTTTGACTTGCTGGTTGAAGTCACTGCGGATGCTCTGAAAATTCATTACTACAAAAAAAGGCTTCAGACTTAAGAACCATGCATTCTTTATTGCTTGATATCTGTTTTGGCCTGTGAGTGACTAAAAAGGACTCTGAAATCTTCTGTCAAGAAACATCTCTATTACAATTGAAAATACACTCACCCATAATACCAGCAAAGATGTTTCTAAAGATGAAAGCCCCAATACAGATCCACAGGATGATGTAGATCTTTACAGTGATAGAATCAACCACCTTGATGAGATCTCTGAGGATATCATACCAGTGATCCAAAGTAAAGAGTTGAAACAGAGTAACAAGAGCATTTCCAAGAGTGCTGCAATATAACAAAGCAATGACTCACAAATACTGACTATTACCAATGTGTTATAACACGTCAACCCGGGCAGAACAGCATGTAAATACCACTACCAAATTAGTAGAACAATATTCATAAAAAAAGAGAAAACTTTCTACTAAATGATATATTTTTCTGTGCTTTAGTTATCACAGATCACACTTTGATTAAACTGCAAAATATGATAAATAACTCTTTCCATAACAGATTTCGTTTTCTTTCTAACTTCAAAGGTTCCTAGGATGTAAAAAATAATGATTTGCTCTTTTTGTAGACAAAGAAAATGTTACTTTCGCTAAATATAATAAAATGAAGAATATCAAGCAAATGAACATAAGAATTTAATAATCTGTTTGAATATCAAACCTGAAGCTCTGTTTGTACTTGAGGTCAGTCCTCTCAGACTTTGAGTAGGAAGCAAACATGACAGTCCCAGCCACAGCAAAAATATACATGAATGTCATCAGCAAAATCAAAATAAATGCCATTGACTGGAATTTAAAATAAGGTAAATTTCCTTTTATTGTTTACCTTGCACGTGCTTAAAAATGTCAACAAAACACTGTTATGTCATAATTCCCTACTCACTAACTCTATGCTTTGCCAGGGGTTGGGGAGGAGGCATTTTTCAAACTTGTCAACACTTATTGGGGCCCAGTGTCGCATCTTGAGATTTGAATCCAAATCAAGGGTTTTACAACATTACTTTTAAATTATTGAGACTTGGCTCTTTAATGCACATATTGCAAATAAGATAACCCTCTTGGCTTATGATACTGACACTTTAGGCAAAAAGGGTTCAAGGTTTGTGGAAATGAATGTTACATGAACAATGTTTATTTTAACATTGATTTTTATTACCTTGAATGCTTTTAATATTGTTAAAACAATGATTCTTAACTGTGCAAATCTTGAGACCTGTAATATTGATATTATTAACTGTTAAAATTAATATATTAACCTGTAAAAATAGATTACTTAATTGGGTTATTCCCTTGTTTTGCACAGCACATTGCCTACTGCGCATAACATTGCAACATCAAAGGTGGCAGTGATTTTTGCTGGTCGCCTGAGGAGAGGTAATAAAGAAATAAAGGCCACTTTTGTTGTCTAAAAGGTTTTAAATAGGATGATAACGAGTCCCCTTTTTCTAGCCTTCAAGCAAGTTTCCATTTCTGGCTAGCAAAGCAAGCCACAAGAGAACATGCAAGCAAATGGCTAAGCCGTGAGGGTTTCTGGGGTAAAAATTAATGAAAATTAAACAAACATCATTGCACGCTCTTCCTTTCTTTCCCCACCGTAAAACACACTTAGGATAATGTGCAAGCCTCGCAAGATTAAGCACAGTGACTCCATCTTTCATTGTAATTTTTCAATGTTTTGCACCAAGTTTGAAAAAATCCGGATAGTACATCTTTTTCAAGTTCAAGGGAATTACCTTAACTGAATTACTGACACAGCTTCAGAACACTGGCAGATAACTTACCATCTTGAGTGATCTTAAGATGCGGAACACTCTAAGGTTTTCAGCAATAACAGCAAGTTCTGCTGTGTTTTTACCCGACAAAAGCTGTATAAACTCAGGCACAAATGACTGAAAGGAAGGTAATATCAGAACATACTTTAGTCTGGTTAAAATCATCCAAAAAATAAAAATTACAAAGGGATGAGGAGAGGAATCATTGATTCAAGAAAAAAAAAAGAAAACAAATGTATATATGGTGGGATATACTGATTATTAATTGATTTTGACAGATTGATTGATTGATTAGTTTGTTGATTGACAGACTGACTGAATGACTGATTGGCTGACTGAGTACTAACCATTACTATTAATGTTGATTGATTGATTGACTGACTGATTGATCAATTGATTGATTGATTGATTGATTGGCTAATTGACAGAGTACTCACCATTAATGTAACAAGAAAGTCAAAGATGTTCCAACCATTGTTCCAAAACTTCCAGAACCCATCAATCCACTTAAGGATTATCTCAAGCACAAATATAGTCAGTGCACAGTAATCAAATATCTGAAGGCAGAGTTTCAGGGCGTACAGTGACGGTTCTTTTATTTTAGAAATTTCTGTAAAAAAAAATTGGTTTCAACTTGTAGTAGTGTATGATAATGTGTTTGAAACAAAGGAATTAAAACATGAACAAAAATGAACCACTACACCACGACATACACATTGTGCCTTCACTCACCAGCTTGCACTCCCAAAACGATAGAATTTGTGATAATCAAAACCATCATGAAGTTTTGAAACTTTGGATCTGATGACCAAAGGAAAAACGAACAAGTAAATTAATATTCATTACCTTGCGCACAAGTCTGACCCAAAATATCTTCAAGAAATATTAGCTTAGAGATTTACCTTCTATAACCGTGTGAGCCCAAGGACCAAGTGGAATAGTGTTTTTATTTTTTACTCTGTTCAATCTACGATCTGTGAAACGTTGTTCGTCTTTCTTAGTGTACATTTGGAATTTGATCAGTCCTTGAGGCGACTCTCTAAGAAGTTGCTTCATGACTTCATCATCTGAAATTAAGTCAAGTCAAGTTTGTTGTGAAAATACGCTTAGCTATTTGTGAAAGATACACTAGCTACTTTGCAATATTATACTGTATAAGGAAAACTGACATTAGGCTTTTGTGACTTTAATGGTGACGCGCTCGAAAACCTTTAATAACTGCCGACCATGTCAACCATCAGATCCCATCGCCATCCTCCCTGCAAGGCGTCACGACAAGTCTCCCAATCACTGTAATCTCAAGGGGTTTTTCGGATGGAAATCGAAGTATTGAAAAAAATACAATATTAAATAAAGAAGAAAAGCGCCTTTTTAGTACAACGTACCTGTTACTTCATTAGAATAATACTTTGGAGCTTCAGCACTGCCCCTGTTTGCGATCATATCGATGAGCTGGAAATCTTCAATTAGCTTTGACCTAAAGATCTCAGCTCGTGGTGAAAGCTCCTCTGGAACTTCGTCGTTCATCTTTACTGTGTTAAAATATTATTTGCAATTGCATTTGCAAAAGTAAAACAAACGTTATGTGTTGTACTTACAGTCCTACCAGGGAGGGACAAGAAACAAGACAAAAAGATGGCCTCAATACAGCAGCGGGACGAAAACCAATCGACCACCTCCCGATGTCATTCCGATGTTAACCCGAAGTCCTAAGGATCCCGAAACGTAAAAATCATTGCAAAATTTTTGGCCGATATTTCCCTCATTTCGGACAAATTTTGGGCAAACATCATGAACATTTTGGACACTTTATTGACACGTACCAGAAGTATATCGACACTTTACCATTATTTTTGTCCAAAGTTATAATTGTCTGAAATTTTCAAGAAATATAAATCGTGAATAGCCTAATTTTACGCTATAACAACAACAAGCATTTCAAGTTTAATTTAAACACCTCAATTTTGCAAATCAAATTCTTACTAGTGGTGGTAACAAACAATATCAATTTAAAATATTCATTTCGTTGATTTTGACGACAGCTTTTGGTGCCCGCGAAAATGTTTATTTAAAATAGCTATCATCATATTTGATCAATAGACCAATCCACGATATTTATGTCTCAAGAGTAATGGGAATGTTTGGAAGGTATTGCACGTGCATGTTACAGCCTATTTAAGATTCGCTCTGCGTGGTCTTTCTTTCTTATTGCTGTATTCTCTGCCGTGTTCAGATTATCAGAGTCACCGTTTTTATTACAGCAGCAGTCATGGCCGAACCAACCGCTGTCGCGAAGTCCAAACCCAAGCACCCAAAGTACAGTGAAATGGTGGAAGAAGCAATTAGCTCTTTAAACGAGAAAAGCGGTACTTCGCGGCAAGCCATCTTGAAGTACATTCAAGGAAATTATCCAGTTGGCGAGAAGGCTAAAAATCAGGTTAAAGTTGCTTTGGTCAAAGGAGTCAGCAATGGACGACTTGTTCAAACCAAAGGCACCGGAGCCTCGGGGTCATTCAAGATTTCCAAGGAGCTCAAAGAAGAACAGAAAAAAGCTGAGAAAAAGAGACTTAAAAAGGAGAAGAAAGCTTTGAAAGAAGCTGCTAAGGAGAACATTTCGCCTGACAGCGACAACGAAGGTGTAGAAGGAAAAACCAAGGCAAAGAAAACCAAGAAGACAGTACTAAAGGGAGAGGATGAAAAAAAGAAGAAAAAGAACTCGACGAAAAAAAGTAGTGACAGCAAAGAGAAAAAATCTTCAAAAGATTCAGCAACGAAGAAAAAGAAATCCAAGGCGAAAAAATCGGAGGAAAAGCAAGCTGACAGCGACACAGAGGTTACGGCAGAGAAAAAAGCAAAGAAATCGCTTGCAAAAGCTAAGACAAATAAGAAATCGTCACCAGGAAAGAAAGCAAAGAGTGCAAAGAGCAAAGACTCGACAAAAGCTCCTAAACCAAAGAAAACTGCAGAAGCAAAACCTAAGAAGAAGAAAGCGCTGGCTGAGAAGAACTGATGAGAATGTATGAACTAATTTAAATTTGATAATTGTAAATAAGTGTAAATAGCTATCGTTAGTGACGTCTTTTTGCCAGTTCGATGTAATCAATATCTTTTCAGATATTTCACCCTAACTGTTGACTTGCGGGTATAGAGTTGACGGAAATATTTGCTTCGTTCTCTTTTTAAAAGTACTGTCCAGTTGGAAGTTGTTTTTACTTTTACCTTATTTCTTGGGAATTTTTTTTTCGACTCTTTTAAGTTGCGTATATTGTAATAGTTCGACAGTCGGCACGCTTGTAGAAAAGATGGACACCTTAGCAGACTGTGAATAAAATGTGTGTTTTTTATTAAAGCATTTTGATTGAAAAATCGAGCTATTCACTGAATGTAATACGATTGTTTAAACGTGTTTAATTTTTTTTATGAAGTACTCACGATATGCAGTTCTTCGCAAACTAAGACGTAGAGTGAGCATGTACTTGAATGTAAGCAATAGTCCTCTACATCTGAGACGGAGTCAATAATACAAGCTCCAATGTTCTTTTTTCCAGTGCTGCGCGCACGTGCTATCGACAATTCTGTGATGTGTGCATACTTGGACTTTCCTCAACCCTTGAAGCCCTGGTTTCTAGCACAGTACACGATGGTTCAGTAGACTTGAAGCAAGGGAATTAGGAGACGTCCAGGGGCTTAGCTAGGAATTTTCCAGAGGTGCGCACAGTTTTTCAAATCCACCAAACCTGTTCTCCACAATCGTTTCCACACGGCGGATGCTTTAAATAAATACATTCCGAGACGTGTTTATGCCTATGGCGAGTAAAACATTTCTCTTGTATAGGAAAAACCATGTTCTCGTGCAATATCAACGGCGTTTTGTGTGAATGTGTGTGCAACAAAATCGAGGAAAACACTTTTTTCAACTCCTTTGCTTTGTTTTCTTTGTTTGCATGTTTTTGTTTTTGTTTTTGTTTTTGGGCAACTTTTCAGGTACGCACGTGCGTTCTGTGTTACGCTATAGTTTAGTCCTTCCTTCTGGATTTGAAAGCCTGCTTTTCATTTGTTTCAAATCAAAATTGTAAAAAGCCTTAGGGATTGTTTGATTACAGCGCAACTTAACAGAAACCGGCTAAATATTACATGGCTGTGATGAGACTTTCGCATTGTTTCCCATTAAGCGATATCCTGTTTTAACATTGCAAATTTGACATATGGTATAAGTCTCGACTCGCCCACTCTTTGATTCCTCGCTCGTCCGTTATGCTATAACGACCACTAAAGGACCGACCAACATTATTCATAAAATTGCTTCTCGGAGCGAAGTTTTTCACTGCTATTCGCGCATATCTTATGACTAACTCTGTGAAATGGCTGTGAAATGCATCTTCAACTTCGTCCCCAGGATCTTCTCGCGTTCCAATATGGCGCTGTCACAGTGATATTGGCATCCCCATTCCCAAAATCCTCGTGATATGGGCATCCTCTGTAACTCTAACCTAACCCTAACCCAAATAGCTAAGGTATTATAAGAAGGAGATGACCATATATCACTAGGGTTTTGGGAATGGAGATGCCCAAACACTGTAACAGCGCCATATATTTGAAAGTTGAATGCGCCTTTTTTGCTCTTCTTATCGAGCGGTCTCTATTAGCTGACCTACCTACCAGCTGACCCTAAACTAGCTGACGTCACAGTGGTCATGTTGGTTGAATGCCAAAGCGTTTCCCTTCCGCTGGGATTTACTAAGCCTTTTTTCCAGGGAAATCGTTTCAGAAAAGGTGCTGTTTCAGTATCATCCAACACTGCCGCCTTGTCACGCTGTAGCAAACCCTAATTATGACTTAAAGCTGATAAAAAGTTCTTGAACAGTGGTGGTTTGGTCGCAATTTGCAGTAATCGTCCTAACTTTCAATCGTGACCTCCGTCTTAATTTGTAATACCTCTCGCAATTCACCTGTAATCAATTTGTGGTATATTGTAATAAAAAGTTGTCACAATTTGTAATAACTCGACATCGATAACCCAAGCTGTCGCAATTTGTTATGATAAACATGATACACGTGAGTAACAACACAGGAACAGCAGCATCATCAACACCTGTCGATCAAAGAATGTGACTTGTTGGTCACGTGAGTTATAGTTGTCAAGTTCATACAAACGTGTAAAACGTTTATTATAGCTAATACCAGAGCTCATTATTCATTCGTTTACGAGCTAGGCAAGGTGCTTTTTCCCCATTTACAGAAATCATTCCTTTGAAAAGGCTCGGGCAAATGAATTTAGGAATAAATTCATGGGAGAAGCCGATCCACTGCAACGAATAGAAACTGATCGCTTGTACACACGCCCACACACGGCAGCACATTATTGGTGTGGGCCATTTAATTCAATTTTCCAGTGTGGTAAGAATCCCTTTTCTATTGCGCAAGCTTAGGCTTTTTCTTCAGGGTTATACCATATAACTCTTACTCCGGCAAGAAAACAAAATCCGATTGGCTTTTACTGTTGTTCCCACATAACAAAGTGATTTCGGAAAGGTTTCTGACGTTTCTGTACTAGGCAGGGGCACCCAATGGATCTGTTCCTCAAAATATCTGTTCTTCAGGCATTTTTTTGCTGGCTGGGAGATGTGAAAGAAATAATAGTCCTTGGAAGGAAAGTGTTGCTGGGAAAAAGATAATTCAGGGTGTCAGAGGGGATTTGAAGTTGCTACGGCTGCTACGGTTGCTACGTTGCTACGGTTGCTACGGGTTACTTGTATGGGTTACTTACCACTCAAGATCTGAATTGTGCCCTATGAAACTTTCCAGTAAGTCAGGTTGCAGGTTGTAAGGTTGCTGGCTGGGAACTTTTTCATCAGTCTTGCTGGGAGTGAGGAACAGATAATTTTTTTCCAGCAATCTCCCAAAATGCTTAAAATAGTCTCAGAAAACTTCATTCACGCTTTGCTGTTGTTTTTAGGTCTTTTTCTCAAAATTTCCCGTTGGGTGCCCCTGACTAGGGAGCCATATTGTAAGTGATACATCAACTTTCGGATATGTTTCAGTGCCAGTAATTGCCCTTTTACAGAACTTCCTGTTCCATCCCGTCCTGGACGATAACGTTTTAGTAAGTGGACTGCTCGTTTACTGTGCCCCCAAAAAAAAAAAAAAAAAACTCTACATTTGTCATTTTAGTATTTCTACTTCTGCTTCGCATGGCTGGTGCACGATATACAAAGAGAATAGCAAGTCTCGAGTTACGTTACAAAGAACACAACAATGATCCATAGCCTTTGCACAATAACAGTATAAACTTCACACAATAGAACGAGACAATACCGCATATATTGACTTGGTATATCGAGCATCACCCGCTGCTGACGACCTGCAAATGCTACATCGTCTCTGGGAACCTCTAACCAAAAATGGCAACCCAAACACGACAGCTTAGTTTATTTCAAATTCTGTCGTGAAGGTATTACAAATTACAAAAAAGAAAAAGAATTGCAAATTTACAGCAGGCGGAAAAATCAGCTCTCTCAAACTGACAGTAACCCTGCAAGTTTTATTTTTATAGATCATTTTCTTGGCTGATTTCCTCCAAAAACAACACAACAGAATAGTATAAATCCCTAGACGTGAGAAGGTTTCGCCTCCGCATTTGTGCTAAAAACACAACAGTATATAGAGGCTGATTTCCACTGTTGCGTAATTTTAACGTGCTTACGTAGGTAATATTTACGCACGTAAATAAAATAAAGGCTATGTATGGAAGATCACGCGTAAACGCAAAAGTTGAACCTCGCTTCACTGTTACGTTTACGCGCGGCCTGTCAGATATCACCTCTATTTTATTTACGCGCGTAAAATTTACGTGCGTACGCACGTGAAAATTACGCGACAGTGGAAATCCACCCTAATATACTTTACCTGATCACAAAATGGCGATAACCCCTTTTTTGGCGTTTCTGACAGAAGTTAGTGCCTATCTAACTATGAGAAAATTTTTAAAACAAAAATGCATATCAAACCATGGTTTATAAGAGGAGACTGGTTATGAAAGGCGTCAAGCATCAAATGTAAAGACAGCGCCGGTGCTGCAGTTTATGTTGGAAGCTGCCTGACGTTGCAGAATCCTTTGTTCTCTGGTTCTCTGTTGGTCACTACGATCAAATTGTTAGGAATGCTATTGAACGTTGTGCACCATCAGGTGTACGCGGTGACTAAGCCTAGCCATGCATATATACCCTTGCTGCCTAGCTTTTAATTGCTCCCATATTAAGCGGCGAAGGACTATTAACAACCAAAATTTTTTTAAAAGACTACGCGGAAGGCTAAAAATATATCAAATGATCAAGATGATTTTACACAAATTCGGCGAACAACTTTTTCTGATTCCTTTGTGATTTTAAGCATTGCTGGCATAAACCTGACCATAAATATTCTTGCTTGCTCGCGCTTTGCTTTGTGTTACAAGCAATTACAATAAGATTCATAGAATGACGTCATAATCCTAATAGACGTCTGGTGAATATGAAATGTAATAAGCAAGGTGAATTACAGCGAGCAGACTGAAACGAAGTAAATGTTAAAAACGACTGCGAGTCACTCAGTAATAAAACTTAGTGGCTATGACAGAGAACGAGCCAATAATGGAAAGGCAGAAAGGGTTTGCTATAGTAGAACACAGAGTGTCCCCAGTCAGTAATGCGGACCAGTCACTGCAAGTGAGTACTTCATTTTTAAAGATTTGGTGGGTCATTTCCTCTTTAGAATGGATCGTACGTTATCGATTAACAGTTGTAAAAATTCGTAATCCACCCGAAATATATGACCTAAAGCCTTCTTCTTCGCAAAACTAGAGACATTTCATTGACGAAGCAGCAAATTTTACTTAATTTTCTTTCTTGCGTGAGAAAATTCCTGAGCGGAAGCTTACCTTGCTTCCTACACTCAGTCCATACAAATATTACACCAATTTTCGCACAAAAGAATTTTTCAATATAACCCTCTGTTACTTTGTTCAAATAAATAATGCAACGTCCGACTTGTTTAAAAAGGAAGTTATTTAAAAATTTGGACTTTTGCCCTTCATCTAATGTTTTATTAAGTTTTTTATATTTCACCTGTTCCGTCTAATGTCGCTGGTTTTCAACCGGACTTTGTCAGTTAAATGCCATTTATCATGCTATTATTTTCATGTGGAGTTAGAAACCGTCTTACAGAACCATCTACCTTTTCAGGAACACATTTGATTCGAGATAGTGCCTAATAAAGGTTGTTAAGTGTAAAAGCTTATGCCATACTAGGCCGAAACGTAGTCTGGGATATTCTTAACCCCGTAATGCCTATAACGCCGGTACAGTCGATCGACACCATTGTCCTTTGTTTATATTTTTTTTTTCACTTTTCTCAATAACGTTGAACTGTCGCCCAGTCAAGTCAGTTAAGTACATCAGACGTTCTTTGTATCCTTAGATCACTCGTGCAAGCTACATTTATAATATTTGGCTAATTTATAGAGGGAAAACGATGAGCGTAGATGCTTGCCACTTACATCAATTATTCGTCTCGCCTGTCAACGTTCTTTGGCTTAAAAAAGGGAATTAAAGTCAAGCCACTGTTACTCACGTTTTGACGCTTTCTAAAGATGGAGAATTTATGTTAAACTGGGATACAAGTAAAACAAGAATACAGCTATTTGATTTCCTTTCTTACTTGCGAAACTGGGAGTAAACAAGGAGTAAAGTTGAAATCTTGCGTGGGTTGTTGACCGAATGCTAAATTATTAGCGATAATACTCTTTATTATTTTATGGTCTCATCTCACGACATAAAACGGCGATATAAAATGATTGCATATTTTAACAAAGTGATAGCTAATGAAAATTTCCTAAATATACCGTCTTTCTAATAAAAGAGGGGAGCTAGACTCTCAATTTCTATTTTTTTTGGGGGGGGGGGCAAATTTGAAACAGGGGCACCCAACGAGAATATAGTTCAAAACCACTTAATTAAACATAGCATTGCTAAACGTATTTTAGTATTTAAACGGTAGATATAGGCATATTTTATCACCAAAAATTTTTTCCTCTGTTCGGATTTCCTAGCTGAAAGTCTAGTGATCCGAAAATTATAGGGATCAAAACTTACCTTTTCGAAAATTTCCGCAAGAAAGTTTTCTCCCGAAAATTCTAGGTGACCTTTTTAGAGTAAGAATCCGTTCCTGAAAAATGGGCAATTATACCATTTTTTAGAAGGTCGAAAATCATAGGAGAAGCAGGCAAGCAAGAAATTTTACAACAAATGTTCCGAAAGTTCAGGATTTCCAATCGTCTTCTGAACAAATATTTTCCGAAAATTGACGTTGGGTGCAACTGTCGAAAGTGGGTCAGATTTCCTCCACTGATGCGATATTGTCCCACTTTTTCTCGCGGGCCACCGATCGATCTGATTTTTCATCCTCGACAGTTTGCTGTTTCCATAAACTTTTATTAGGAGAAGAATCAACACAGTCGACGGTGGGTGAACTTTATTTTCTTTTTATTTTACTGTGCACAGAATTTTAATCTTGATATCGACGAGTCCTCTTCAGACGATCTGTTAAATACCTGTCGTATTTGCAGAGATGAAACAGTCCGTGAGTGTCTTATCAGCCCTTGTCACTGTGCAGGGACACTGGGCAAATGTCATCTCCAGTGTTTAGAGGAGTGGCTCTCCAAAGCTAACAAAAGTTCCTGTGAAATATGTGGTCATAGATATCACACTGCGAGAATTCCAAGGTCTTTCAAAGAGGTAAGTCAGTCTAAAAGCGACATATACCGGGACGCCAGACGAGTACATGTATATGTTGAAGGTCAGACGTGATCTGTTCTCAGGATGAACCAGAATTTCCTTTGTCTTCTTGGATAATCAGGGCTAGGAAAGAAAGAATTATCTGAAGAAAACTGATTCTCGTTCAACCTGAGGACGAGTTTAATCGACAACCGATACATTCGTCTTAAGTCGTTAAAGAACGATTCCGATCAAAATGATCAGTCTATATATAATGACTCGTCAATTAAATGGAACGTTTTGTTTGATAATCATAATTTTCAAATTATGGTGTTTCAGCTTATCCATTTTAAGTGGGGTTTAAATGGTTCAGTCGCAGACAAAGCTGATGTTGGTATCTGACCTCCGCGTCTATTTCTTTTAGGTTAAAGGGCCTACCGCTTTGTTTGTTTGTTTGTTTTTATACATTTATTCACGTAATCGACGAAAAGGCAATTTCGCATGTGTAAAATATATGACAGTATTTTTCTTCTAAGGTAATCAGTACAAATGAAGTTTATGAGTTTATGATTTTAAGTTTTTAGGCATCGTTCTTGACGATAGTCTTACGTGGAAAGACCATGTTCGTTATGTTATTTCTAAGGTTGGTAAAAGAGTTGGTGTCTTAGGGCGCCTTAGAAGGAATATCACTATACATGCAGCTTTCGAGATGTATAATTCATTAATTTTGCCCATTTTTGATTATTGCGATGTTGTTTGGTCCAGCTGCAATAAAGCAGATATGGAAAGTCTTGAATCTTTGCAAAGGCGGGCCTCGAAAATTATAGTTAAATCTAAATGTGGTACAACATCCACCGAATATCTTAAATTTCAGAGTTTAGAAGATCGCCGTAACGCTCATATTTTAGGTTTAGTGAAGAGGTGTTTAAATAATAATGTACCACAGTTTTTAAAGAATTATTTTAAGTTGAATAAGGAAGTTATTTCAAGAGAAACAAGAAGAAGTAATTTTATGTACTTACCTGCAGTAAGAACTGAGACCGGCAAGAAAAGTTTTTATTATAATGGCTCAGTTGTGTATAATAATTATTTAGTAAATAAGAATTAGTTTTAATTGTTATACTATACTATTATTAACTTATAGTTACTTAGTTTCTTACTATTTATTTTGAACTTTTTTATTAGTCTTAATTTAGGGCTCCTATTGATAACAGATATACTTTTAAGTATTCTGAAGGGATTACCCTAGTTAAATAAAGGTTTACTACTACTATCTCAAGTCGTCATAACTTTTACCCGCCCCTTTGTTTGTTTGTTTTTTTCCAGTGGATTATTAAAGGCCAAAGTCGCCGAGAACGTCGCTATCTTTTGGCGGATCTAATATGCTTTCTGATTCTCAGTCCGTTGGTCATTGCAAGCTCATATCTCTGCGCTCAAGGGGCCTGGTACTACCTTGTTTTTGCGGTGGATAAGTGGACTGGCACGGGATTGCTTATTCTGAGCTTGTTTCTTTGGTGTATATTTGGGTTTTGGTTGATTGTTACAATAAGGTATCACCGAAGATGTTGGCTGGACTGGAAAAATCATAATCACGTAGTTAAATTAGTGAAAATCAGCAGGTTTGAGGATGGAGTACTGGATGACCCGCAGGGAAGCTGTTCAGCCATAGAGACAGCAGTGTAACTTGGTAATAGAGTAGAAGGAGCAGCGTCCGTTTTAAAAACGAAGTATCGACTTTGTAATTAATATTGTTTAATAGAGATTGAATAAAGCAACTCTAACCCTGTCTGTAATCGCGTAAGATTTCACTATTCAGTAACCTCAGTGCATGCTTCAATTAGCTGAGCCTGAATGTCCAGGCGTTTTTTCGAGCATGCGACTCCGACAGTGGTGTTAATCAAAATGAATAGGTTATTCGAAAGACTCTTCTGAGCAGTATTGTTAACGCCGTAATCTTTTCTGCAACAAATTGTCACCGTAGTTCGTCTTTCTCATTCATACACCAAATTAATAACGTCATCCTTACAATCAATGAAACGTCACTAAAGACCAACAACCGAGCCTAGTACTGTAGCGTATCCACCGACACTGCCTGTCGCGGCTAGCTTTAGTAGCTAGATGTAAGCATGAACCATTATTAAAGTTGTTTTTGTTGTCTTTTCTTATTGCCTTCCCTATTTTCTTCTTCTCCGCTGGTGAATCCAGTTGTACCTTTTCAACTCTTACGTTTCTTTTTTTAAGTTCGACTGTGAGAACAGTCAAACCCCGCTCAGTTATGAAGTTCCAGATACCCAATCTAATGCGGACTCTTTCCATGGCCCTCTCAGTGTCCGTATTAACGGGGTTTGACTGTAACGCATAACGCCACAGAGAAACCTAAAAATAGGTAAAACACTCAGACACCAATCGGCACTGCCTGCCATGCTATGCACCGATAAACCCAATCAATCATGAAACTAATGGGGGGCACAAGAGCACCCATTACTTCCAAGCGCCTGCTACGCTGGCTAAATCGAGAGGGCCTGGAAAACAGCTGTCCATGGCTGCCGCTGTCTTCCTCAGTCTGAATCACGTGCTTCAAGTTTCTCCTACATTTCGCCGCCGAATAGGATGGGAGAGAAGACAGATAGGTTTCACTACTGGCCAATGTTACCAATGGATCAGCAGGGGCGTAACCATGGTTTTTCCAGAGGTACGCACAATTTTCCAAATCCCCCTCCCTACTTGTTTAGTTAGGTGCCTTGATGAGATATGAAATTACCTTTAAGCCTTAGTGTTTTTATTGTCTATGAAATGACGTACATAAGTTGTAACCCTCCTAGGTACTAGGTAGAACATTTGAAGAGGACCTTGCAAACTTCAAACTACGCCTAGGAGCACGTGGGTATCCTAACACACAAGTTGAAAGGTGGCTGTCAAAGGTCATTCTTGTCTGACTCAGAACAATCTTTTGGTCCTAAAGAAAGGAAAAAGTAGAGAGACAACTGATTTTCATCAATACATACCACCCAGCCTAAAAAGTGAAGTCTGATAGAAAATCAGCCTCTTCTGAAAACAATTTATAAAAAGCCTATGATCATTTCAAAAGAGGTTAATTATTTTCTAAAAGACTTGCTTGCTGAGAGCAAAAATATATAAATTTGAAGCCTTTAATAATGCAACGCAACAACAAATCCACTGATTAGGAGGTTGTATAGGCCCACCTTTGAGTTCATTTTAATGTGGTCCGCGACAAAATTGAATTTCCGTACCTGCTACTTTTCAATTCTTACGATTCTCACATCCCATCCCCATATCAGGGAAGCTCACTGCCGCATGTTATGAAATTTCCTGCCTCCCGCTCCTGTTTTAGCTCGCATACCGAGCACCACCCCAAAATACAGGCAAACCCCGTATCACACATCCCGCCAAGGGCATCGTCCCTCACATAAAAGGTTGTGTTTGATCGCACCGTACTTTGACGTAATCGTGTCTTCTTCCACCAAAACAGGCTTCCTTTTCCCTAAATATATCGTTCAAGATTCGGTGCACCAATTCTTCATTCGTTTCGTTGGAATTTGGAAACCGACATTTGGGTGTGGCGAAAAAAAATTCCGTTCTTTTACAAAAAAAAGAACGATTCAAAGACACAATTGAAGTTATCATCATCTTTTTATTTTATTTGTTACAATTATTTTCATATTTTCAACTTCAGCTTTTTCAGGTACGCACGTGCGTATCGTGCGTTCAGGTAGCTACTCCCCTGTCAAGTGGACATGGACCTAGTCCTCCGTTACCGTCATATATATGAAATTTAAAATTAAAATTTCTAGTTGGCCTTGCCTATCATGTTGTTTGGTTTCCTAGGTGATTTTATACGAGGACATCATTTCCCTGTTTGTACTACATATGTCTCTTGGCTCGGAACTACTCCATTAACCAAGAGGTTTTCTTTGGTGAAGACTGAGGGGAGAAAGGGGGATCCGGACAATTATCCGGACATTTCCGGACATCCCCTTACGGAAACCGGAAGCTGTTTTTGCGTGCGAGTCTGAAGGATTTGTTACCAGTCTTTTAACCGGTAGTCAAACTGAACATGGCCTCTGGACACTTCAGATCGTTGTTTCTTCGCGGTGCTGTTTTATCGTTTGCTCGCAGAGCTGCTACCAACATTTCGGTAGGTAGCTAGCGAAAACTGTAAGTTTCATTTTCTATTTTTTAAAATGGCAACTAAGTGGTACAACCTCTCATAATACACAGATCTCAAATGGAATAAAAACCTCATCACTGGTCTGCTCGGTAAGTAAGTGCAGTCTTCACTTCTCCTTACAATTTTTAGAAGTCACTGTTGTAAATTTTCAAAAAACTGACATTTATAAGTTAAAATCAGCAGCTTGCTTGGGATGGACTTCCAAACCAAAACAAATTGTTTTTCCCGCTTACTTCGGAAAATAAAATAATTTTAATTTCTGTGAGTTATCTTTTAACTTTGCTTCTTTCTTCTTAATCGAAGTAGAAAATAGGCGTAAATAGCTTTCAGCTGAACCATTTAAGCTGCAATATATTATTATTTTTTCAACCTGGCAATGCCTAACACGTTTACGTATTCTTTCTGTGCATGCTAGCTTGCATGATTTCTCTTTCATGAATATTAGTCATGGTTAGAGGGGGTCTGGAAACTAGTCATCAGTCAGATAAGGTTTCAAATGCTGTGTCTACACTTGAGCATTACTAAGGTTTTCATTTACAGCAGTTGGGTATCATAAAACCTCGGTACATTTGCATTGTGCTCATACTGCCTTAGATATTCTAAGTTCAACTCTCAACAATTACTGACCAATGACTTATAGTAGACTAGGTACGAACATACATACCCAGTACATACACTCATACTTTTATTTGTTAAAGCAGGTTGAGGATTAATGCAGACATAGGCTGATGTGAACCTGCTATCTAATTATTTACAAAGAAAACAAATTAATAAAATAATAAAATAGAAGTATGTACAATTGCAATCAGTGAGTAAGCAAAAAATTTATATGGGTGCTAAAATTCTAAGAATATATAAAATCATCACTTTTCTTTGCTACCATAGGGG